GGCCGCGCCGTCGCCCGACGCCGCCGCCCCGCCGAGCTTCGCCGCGGCGGCCCCGAGCGTCGACGGCGGCGCCTCCGCGGCCTCCCCGGCGTCCCCCGCGGCGTCCCCGGCGTCCGCCGCGGCGGGCGCCGCGGCGTCGACCGCGCGCCGCAGCGCCGCGCGGGCCGCGCCGACGGCGTCGCCGCCGTCCGCCGGCGGCGGCGCCGCCGCGGGCGCCCCCGCCGCGGCCGGGAAGGCGAGCTTCACCGTCGACATCTGCGCGAGCGTCGCGGACGGCGTCACGGGCCCCGCGACGTCGCGCACGGTGAGCTTGTCGACGGGCTCGCCGTTGACGGCCCAGGTCAGGAGCTTCGTGGCCGCGTCGTGGGCGACGCGCACGCGGTCGCCGGCCTCGAGCGTCAGCTCCTTGAGCTTGCGCACCATCTTGCCCTTGCGCCGGACGCCGCCGTCGCCGACGGCCCAGCCCCTCGCGTCGCTCCACTCGGCGACGCCGTCGTCGCCCGCGACGTCGGCGGGGCAGCCGTGGTCCGCCTCGGAGACGCCCACGCGGCCCCCGCCCCAGCTCACGATCTCGAACTCGCACCAGGGCCGCGCCGCCGAGAGCGCGCGCGACGCGAAGACGTTGCCGAGGCCCTCGGCCATGACCGTCGCCGTCACCTCGTCGTCGGAGACGAGCACCTTGCCGCCGGCGCGCACCCAGACGCCCGGCGGCGCCGCCGGCGCCGCCGGCGCCGCGCGCGTTGTTTCGGGGGCCGGGCCGCCGCACGTCGCGCGGATGCGCCGGACGAGGCGCCAGCGGTCGAACTCGGCCGCGCAGGCCGCCTCGGCGCGCGCCCTCGCCCGGCGCCGCGCGGCGACCTCGGCGGCCGTGGCCCGCGTCGCCGCGAGGCGGTCGCCGAGGCGCTCCGCCGCCGCCTCGAGCGCGCGCGCGACCGCGGCGCCGGGCGAGTCGCCCGCGAGCGCGGCCTTGCCGCCCAGCGCCTTGCAGGCCCAGGCGCGGCAGAGCCGGTCGGCGCTGCGCATGCGGTCCCGGGCGTCGCCCGGCGACGCGGCCCGGGGGCCCTTGCTCGGCAGGGGCCAGGTCACCTTGAGCAGCGCGTCGCCGAGGCCGTAGTCGCGGTCGTCGCCGCCGCGGAGCAGCTCCGCGCCGAGCCGCGCGCAGCGCATGGGCGCCCAGAGCGCCGCCGTCTCGTCGTCGAGGTGCTCCGCGACGGACGCCAGCTCGTGGCTGCCGCGGCTCAGGGCCTCGAGCGCGTGCGCGGCGTCGCCGTCGAGGAACGGCCGGAGCTCCTTTGTCGCCGCGGCCCACTTCTCCAGGGCCACGAGCCGCGGCGCGCGCGTCGCGAGGTCGCCCGCCGCCGCCGGCGCGCCGCCGAGGGCCGCGGCCTCGGCGTCGAGGTGCTTGAGCGCCTTCGCGAGCTGCTTCGCGGACGTCCGCCCTTCTAGGACGTCGACGAAGATCTTCTCGACGGGCGCGGCCCGGTCGCCGGCGACGCCGAGGGCGGCGAGCATGGCCCGGGCGCGGCTCGCGGCCGAGGCGCTCGACGTCGCCCCCGCGTCCTCCGCGGCCGCCGCGCCGCTCGCCGCGCCGCCCTCGGCGCGCGCGGCCGCGAGGACGTCGACGAGCCGCCTCAGCGCCGCGGGCCGCGCGCCCGCGGCGACGGCCGCGGGCAGCGCGCGCTCCGCCGCGGCCGCGACGTCCGCGGCCGTGGAGGGCGCGGGGCCCGCGGCGCCGACGATGGCGAGGGCCTCGGCGAGCGCGGGCGACCGCGCGTGCTCCAGGAGCGCCGGGCTGCCGAGGACGAGCCGCGCGGCGACGGGCCGCTCGCCGCCCGCCGCCTTGGGCGCGCCCAGCGCGCCGAGGACCGCGAGGTCGCCGGCGCAGCCCAGGGCGGCGTCGAGGAGCCTCTCGAGGACCGCCGCGCGCGCGAGCGCGGTCGAAAACTCGTCGACGTCGGGGAGCGCCTCCGCCTTCCGCAGCTTCTCCCGCTTCACGTCCTCGACCGTCGTCGCGTCGGCGGCCGTGACATCGAAGGACGTCGCGCCGCGCTTCCGGGCGATCGTGGCCGGCCGCCACGCGTCCTTGGAGAGGTACTCGACGGCGTCGCCGACGTCGAGCGCCTCGTCGCCGAAGACGCCGGGCGCGAGCGCGCGCGCCGCCGCGGCCTCGACGGCCGCGGCCTTGGCGCAGGCCAGCCCGAGCGCGGGGAGCGCGGGCGCGTCGCCGCCGACCGCGCGGAGCGCGGCGCGGGCCGCGCGGTCGAGCGACGCGAGGACCTTGGCCGCGTCGGCGGCGAAGGCCGCGACGCCGTCCTTGATGCGCTTCCAGACCAGGGCCTTGGAGCCGGACTTGGCGCCCGCCAGGGACGCCACGTGCTGCCCGACGGCGACGTCGGCGACGGCCGCGAGCCAGCGGTAGCCCCCGCCGAGCGCCGCGGGCTTCGCCTTGTCGCCGCCGACCTGGACGCCGCCGAAGAGGCCGGGGTCGACGGCGGGGAGGACGACGACGCGCAGCGCGCCGTCGTAGAGGCCGCAGGTCGTCCGGAGCGCGGCGACGGCGTCTCTTAACTTGTTCTCGACCTCGGGAGCAATGTCCTTGCCGACGGCTTCCGCGGCGCCGTCGGTCAGCGCCTTCAGCGCGGCGCGCAGCGGCGCGTGGAGGAAGGCGACGACGGCCGCGGCCTCGTCGTCGCTCGCGTCCGGCGGCCGCGGCTCGGCGTCCTTCTTCTTGCCGCCCTTCTTGCGGGCGGCCTTGCGCTCGGGCGTCCGCGGCGCCTCGTCGCCGTCCTGCTGCGCCTGCTGCTGCGCGAGGCGCTGGCGCATGCGCTGCTGCCTTCGCTCCTTCTTTTTTCTCGCCTTGTCGTCCATGGCCTTGCCACTTATCGGGGCTGCATCGTGCGATCAGCAGCCCAACCGATGAACGAGTGCATGGTGGATCCATGGAGGCAACGTGCACAGTCAAAGTTGAGGTCGATCCAGCTCTCGCAATGGCCGTCTCATTTGCGATCGCACTCGTCGCGCTGACCGCTGCAGCGCTCGACGTCGCGCCGCGCGCCGCCGGCACGCGGCGCGGCCTCCTCGCGAGCGCCGCCTTCGGCGCCGCCGCGCGCGCCGCGCCGGGCCTCGCCGAGGAGGAGCCCCGGGTCACGGCGATCGTCACGCTGGACGTGTCCATCGCGCGCGCGCCGCCGGAGCCGCTGCGCATCGAGCTCTTCGGCGACGCGGCGCCGCAGTCCGTCGCCTACTTCTCGAAGCTCGCGACGAACAGCCTCCGCGCGGCGTGTTCGGACGCGGACGAGGACCCCGGCGCCGTCGCGCGCGTGCAGACGAGCCGGCGCATGGGCGAGCGGGCGTGCCTGGACGCCCAGGGCGTCGACGTCGGCTTCGCGAACTCGCAGCTCTGGCGCCTCGTGCCGGACAAGCGCGTCGACTTCGGCCGCGTCGACTCGTCGTTCTCCGCGCGCGTGCCGCCGACGTTCGCGGAGGAGACCAACGCGCTCCGGGCCTCGGCGAAGGGCAACGTCTCCGTGAAGCGCGGCGGCGGCGCCTTCGAGTTCACCGTCGCGCCCGCGAACAGCCCGGGCCTCGACCGGGAGGACCTCGTCGTCGTCGGGCGCGTCGCGCCGGCGGACCTGCCCTTCCTCGACGCGCTCAACGCCATCCCGACGAAGAAGGACCTCGTGTCCATCGGCGACGTGCCGCCCCTGGGCAAGTCCTTCGCGCGCGCCTGCGAGTACTCGTCGCCGGACCCGACGTGCGCGCAGTTCAAGCCCCTCAAGCGCATCATGGTCGTCGGCTCCTCCGTGAAGGGACGATAAACTAGCCTGGATTCGTCGCTCTGGCTGGGTATAGGGGGGCTCCTCCTGCGGGCGCTGTTGTGGACATCGGCCGCGGCGTAAGCTGCGTCAACGGCGCGTCATCGACTTCGTTCACAGAAAGGCCGGCTCGCCGACTCAGCGGCGACGTCGCCGCAGCCAGCATCTTGAGCCTCGCATCTTGTCACTGCCGAGTGCCGCAGCCACCGCCACAACACGATGGCGTCCATGGAAGAGACGATCAAGAGCATGCTCTGCGGCACGACATCCGGCGGCTCGAGCAGCCTCATCTCCGCGTCGAGCGAGTGGAAGGCCGTCGCCGCCTGCGCGGCCAAGCTCAAGGCCACCCATTTGCGCGACGCCCTGGAGAACGCGGACCGCAACGCGAACCTCCTAACCGAGGCCGAGGGCATCGTCCTCGACTACGCGCGCGAGAAGGTCGACGGCGACGCGATGGCGGCGCTCTTCGCGCTCGCGCGCAAGGCGAACGTCGAGGCGAAGCGCGACGCCATGTTCAACGGCGACGTCATCAACGAGACGGAGCAGCGCAGCGTCTACCACGTGGCGCTCCGCGCGCCCAAGGGCTCGAGCCCCATGCTCGCGAACGGCGAGGACCAGGTCGCCAAGGTCAACGGCGTGCTCGACCGCATCGAGGACTTTAGCGACCGCGTGCGGTCGGGCGCGTGGAAGGGCGCGACGGGCGAGGCGCTGACGACGGTGCTCGCCATCGGCATCGGCGGCTCCTACCTCGGGCCCGAGTTCCTCTGCGAGGCGCTCCGCGCGGAGCCCGCGGCCGCGGCGGCCGCCGCGGGCCGCGACCTCAAGTTCGTCGCGAACGTCGACCCCGTGGACTTCGCGCGCCAGGTCGCGGGCCTCGACGCGTCGAAGACGCTCGTCGTCATCGTCTCCAAGTCCTTCACGACGGCCGAGACGATCATGAACGCGAAGACCGTGAAGAACTGGCTCCTCGCGAACGTCAAGGGCGACGCGGACGCCGTCGTCCGCCAGCACGTCGCGGCCGTGTCGACGCAGCTCGACCTCACGGCCCAGTTCGGCATCGCGCCGGAGAACGTCTTCGAGTTCGGCGACTACGTCGGCGGCCGCTTCTCCGTGCACTCGCCCGTGGGCATGCTCCCGCTCGCGCTGCAGTACGGCATGGCGCCGATGCGGTCGTTCCTCGCGGGCGCGCGGAACATGGACGAGCACTTCGCTTCCGCGCCGTTGGAGTCGAACCTGCCCGTCATCCTCGGCCTGCTGGGGCTCTACAACTCGTCGTTCCTCGGCTACGAGTGCAAGGCGATCCTGCCCTACGCGCAGGCGCTGCTCCGCTTCGCGGCCCACGTCCAGCAGCTCGACATGGAGTCCAACGGCAAGTCCGTCGCCATGGACGGGTCCAAGCTCGACTTCGCCGCGGGCGAGGTCATCTTCGGCGAGCCGGGCACGAACGGCCAGCACAGCTTCTACCAGCTCATGCACCAGGGCCGCGTCGTCCCCGCGGAGTTCATCGGCTTCGCCAAGTCCCAGGCGCCCGTCCACCTCGACGGCGCGCCCCTGTCGAACCACGACGAGCTCATGTGCAACTTCTTCGCCCAGCCGGACGCGCTGGCCTGCGGGTCCCACAACGACGACCCGCACAAGCACTTCGACGGCGACCGGCCGTCGCTCTCGCTCCTCTTCGGCGAGGTGTCGGCCTACACCATGGGCCAGCTCCTCGCGCTCTACGAGCACCGCGTCGCCGTCCAGGGCTTCGTCTGGGGCATCAACTCCTTCGACCAGTGGGGCGTCCAGCTCGGCAAGGTCCTCGCCAAGCAGGTCGCCGCGGCGCTCAAGGACGCGAAGACCGACGGCTTCAACTCGTCGACGTCCGCCCTCCTCGCCAAGTACATCGCCGCCAAGTAGGCGCGCATCCCGAAGCCTAAGCCCCCTTACCCGCCTTCGCCGGGCCGCGATCGGCGCGCCGCCGGGCCGCTCCGGGGGTCCGCGTCGAAGCCCACGGCGTACAAGGAGCCGATGATCGAGAGCGCGACGAACCGATAGGCCCATAGGACCATGCGATCAGCGGCGAGCTTCTCGCGGCCCCGGAGCGCCGACGGCACGTCGGCGGGGACGCCGCGGCGGGCGGCTCCCGGGGGCGGCGCCGCGACCTTTCGTCGGAGCCGAGAGTACGTCGCCATTTTTACGATGAGCACGTAGACGTGGCCCGGCTTGTAGATGTGGCCGGCCAACGCGGTCTCGTTGAAAGGGAAGCGCGCCCACTCCCCCGGGTTGGGATCCGCGCGTCTCTGTTCCATGTAGCGCTCGACCTCGTCCGCCTTCCAAATGTACGTCTTGTTTCGAGTCGTTTCCTGCGTGACCATCCGCTCCCCCTCCGACAGCAGCGCGTCGAAGATGCCCTGCTTCAGCGCGTTCTCCTCGTCGGAGCTGATGGCGCCGACGAAGCGCTCGCCGCGGATCCAGCGGGTCATCCCCGGCAGCGCGTGCACGACCGGCACGTCCCAATGCGCCAGGTCATTGGCTTGGGCCGCGAGGAGCGTCGTGATCAGCAGCGAGAGCAGCCCGGCGTTGTTCCCGACGAGGCCCGCCGTGACCCCATCGGCGCTGCTCCCGTGGCGCCGACGTCCATGGAGCATGACGGACTTTGGGGCAGCCTGTTCACCTCGTGTTCACTCTCTGATGGGCTTCTGAATCTAATTTGTTTTCGGCCGACACTGTCGACCCGTCGGGTCGAACGTTCCCCTCAACGTTACCCGCCGCGCTTCTTCCTCCGCGGCGCCTGCGGCGCCGCCTTCTTCTTGTCGCTCGGCGGCCCCGGCCGCCCCGGCTTGCCCCGGGCCAGGGACGACGCGTCGACGGCCTGGGGGCAGACGTAGTAGTGGGGCCGGGGCTTGCCCGGCGTCGCGCAGTCGACGTCGTGCCCCACGGGCGCCGCGCCCTCGAGGAGCTTCGCGAAGGGCGCCGCGCCGAGGCGGCCGCGCGTGCCCAGGAAGCACGTGGCGGCCGCGGCGCCGGGGTCCGGCCCGACGGCGCCGCAGGCCGCGCGCGTCGACTCGGACGTCGCCGTCGTGCCGTTGCGCCGCCGCGCGGCCGCGCCGTCGCGCCAGAGGCCCAGCGCGCACGCGGCGACCTTGTCGGCGTCGGCGTCCGAGAGCGTCATGCCCGACCCCGAGCCCCGGCCGCGCACGGACACGTAGCCGCCGCGCCGCGCGTCCGCGACCTTGCGGAAGAGGTCCTGCTCGGAGCCGAACCTGGGCAGGAAAAGAGAGATTCAACGTCGCTTCAACGTGAGTGTTCCGCGCGCGAGCGTTCCGGAAAAAGCATCCACGCTTCGAGACCGTTCCAAGAGATGATCGCTCGTCCAAAGATCAGCCGAAACGAGTGGAAAACGGCCGAGATAGGAGCCTTTGAAGTTGGGAAGTTCGCTCTCTTTTCCTGCTCGGAGCCGAACTCGCCGTGGATCTCCGCGACGACGAGACCGTCCCCGGCGAGCATGGCGTTGGCGAGGCCCGCGCCGTGGGGGCCGACGACGACGTCCGCGTCGAAGAAGCGCTTGGCCGTGGCCGCGCCGTCGCTCCAGGGGCAGCACGACGCGAACGCCGCGCCGAGCCTCGCGAACGCCGCCGCGAGCCTCTTGACGGCGTCGGGCCGCACGCAGCGCATGGCGACGCGCTTGCCGCCGTCGCAGGGCCGGTTCGCGAAGACGACGACGGGCGCGTCCGACGCCGCGTCGGTCCAGCCGTGCTTTTCGGCGACGGCGCGGCGCCAAAAGTCCGCGGACCTCCGCCGCTCGCGCGCGAAGCCGCCGCCGTCCACGGGCCCGACGACGCGCGGGCCGACGGCCCAGTGCACGTGGCGGCAGACCTTGGCGTGCTCCGCCTTGAAGAGCTGCTTGCCGTCGCGGACGTTCTTGCCCGCGAAGACCGCGCCGAGGACGACGTCGGCCAGTTTCACGCGGTCGGGAGGCGCGCCGCCGAAGACGAAGAGCGCCGGCGGCGCGTCGCCGGGGTGGAGCGTCGTCGCGAGGCGGTTGCCCAGGGACGCCGCGTCGTTCCAGAAGTGCCAGGCGTTGTGCCAGGACCACGCGTGCAGCGCGTAGGCGCGCTCGGGCCTCTCGTCGCACGGCGCCGCGGCCGCGTCCCGCGCGATGGCGGCGCCGTACTTGCCCCCGGAGTTGAGGTGGATGTGGCCGCTCTTGAGGTCGCCGCCGTAGGCCTTGAGCGCCGCCTCGCTCTCGGCGTCGAGCGCGCCGGCGAGGATGACGCGCGGCGGGCCGCCGGACGTGCGCACGTGGAGCAGGTCGATGTAGGGCTCGCCGCGCGCCTCGTACTCGGCGCCGAAGCTCCCGTCGGTGATGAGCCGCGCCACGGACGCGTCGCCCGCCCGGGTCGCGCGGAGGAGCAGCAGGGGCAGCAGGGGCAGCATCTAGGCAGCCATCACGTTTCAACAATAGAGGTAAAGCAACGGCGCTTGCATAGATGTTGATGACGATTTGCAGATGATTTTAGCGACCATCCCGAACCAATCTCCAGGCGCCGCCAGCGCTGCCGCACGCCGCCACCACCCACCCAGCAGCATGGCCGACCAGCAGCAGCCGAAGAAGAAGAAGCAGAAGAAGGACAAGAAGCAGAAATTCCCGCGGCTCGAGGGCAACCCCATGCTCGACGCCTACCGCGCCACGGTCAAGGCCTGGCCCAAGGACATGTCCAAGGTCCTCTGCGCGTCCCTCGAGCCGGAGCGGCGCGCCGAGCTCTGGGGGCTCATGGCCGAGGCCGGCGACGCGCTGCGGCGCCGCTACGCCTGGGCGATCCCCGACGAGCGCGCGCTGCGCGTGCTGGCGCACTACGGCCCGATCGTCGAGGTCGGCGCGGGCAAGGGCTACTGGTGCGCGCTGCTCCAGGCGCGCGGCGTCGACGCCGTGGCCTTCGACGCGAAGCCGCCGCCGGAGACGTTCGCGGCCGTGCGGGAAGGCGGGCCCGAGGCGCTCCTGGGCGACGCGCACCGGGACCGGTCGCTGCTCCTGTGCTACCCGGACGACGAGTGCCAGGCGGACCTCGACGACGGCGAGGACCTGTCCTCGCCGGACGCCTGGGGCGCCGACGACGCCGCCGACGACGACGACGAGGCGCCGTCGCTCGCGCTGTCGTGCCTCCGGGCCTACGGCGGCGACGTCGTCGTCGTCGTCGGCGAGGCCGTCGGCACGGGCACGCTGGCGCTGTCGTCCGCGCCCTGGGGCCGGAGCTGCGACAGCCTGTTCCAGGTCGAGCTCGCGGCGTCGTTCCATCCGGTCCTCGTGGCCAAGCTCCCGCGCTGGCCCCTCTCCAAGGACGCGATCGCCGTCTGGGTCCGCACGCGCGTCTGCCCCATCGTCTTCGAGAAGGACTCCGACGACGAGGAGGACGAGGAGGAGGAGGAGGACGGCTGGGCGGACATCCCCGTCGACGAGCAGATCGACCCGGACTGCGCGGCGCCTTGCGCGAAGCACCTTCTCACGATGCCGCCGTAATTACAATTACAAGTGGGGCGTCGCCTCGTCGGCGTAGGTGGCGTTCTTGAGCAACGCCGCGTACTGGGCCGGCGTCAGGCCCGTCTTGGATCGCGGAACCGCGTGGCCCTCGGCGGCGCAGCGCGCGAGCTCTGAACGGTTGTACCAGCAGGCGTCGTAGGCGGAGAGCGCCGCGAGCGCCCGCGTCGCGTTCTCGTAGACGCCGCAGACGCAGGCGCCGAAGAAGCCCGAGACGGGCAGCCCCGTCGACACGTTGGACGCGCCCATGAGCTTCCGGTAGACGGGCCATTTCGCCGTCTCCGTGACGGCCATGTCGAAGACGTCGCGGAAGGGTTTTAAAAACCAAGGACAGAAGAGGGGTCGGTAGACCTCGTGGTCGAGGCCGCCGGCGTTGAGCGTCGACACGCCGTTCATGGTGCAATTTTCCTGGACCGGCGGCAGCCAGGCGTCCGGCGGAGATGGATCGAAGCTGTCGACGATCTTGTCCAGGTTCGCCCAGTCGATGACGATGCCGCTGTCCGGGTCGACGGCTGCGACCGTCAAGGCGCTGAGGGCGAGAGCTGCCCAGAGATGCACCATCGTTCGCCTCGGCGGCAACGATAAGCTCAACAAACATGTTTGACTTCGGCCTCGATCTCGGTGCAAATCGAGCCCACCGCGTCGACGGGGCTCCGCGCGAGCGCCTCCCGACCCGCGCCGCCGCCGCGCGCGCGCGCGCTGTCAAGAGGCGCCGGTCGCGACGCCAAAGCTTTGCAGGCGCCAAACGCTGTTACACGAACAAAACGCTGCAAACGATGCCGCGCCGTCTCCTCGAGATGATGGCGCTGCTCTGCATCCCCGCGCGTGCCTTGCAGCTCTGCTCGCGGCGCCAACTCGGTGCCGGCGCCGCCGCAGCCGTCGCGGGCGTTGCAAGCGTCGCGCGCGCCGAAGTGCCAGTCGATCCGTTTAACTCCATGTGCTTCGGCTTCGGCTGCGCGCAGCCGCAGGGCGTCGACGGCGGCGGCGCGCCGGCTCCGCTGGACGAGGACTCGACGCCGTGGCAGGAGGTGCTCAAGCTCATCGACGAGAAGAAGGTGCAGCGCGTCGAGTTCAACGACGTCTCCATGTCCAAGGCCTGGGCCGTGACGGCAGACGGACGGATGCGCATTGGCGCGGGCTACCCCGTGGACGACGGCAAGAGCTGGTCGTCGCCGCTCTTCGTGACGCGCACGCTGGAGAACTACCGGATCCCCTACAGCTACGTGGAGGGGCTCAAGCGGAAATCACCTCGCAAGTAACCGTTCTTACTTCGTAGTAATTACTAGTAAACCGCTAGTGCACTAGTGCACGGGCGGCCCGAGCCCCTCGCGGAGGATCGCGGGCGCGTCGTCGGAGGCGAGGTCGTAGACCGTGGACCCCTCGATGGGCCGCGCGCCCGCGTCGACGACGAAGTCGACGAGCGCGCACCAGGTCTGCGCGTCGCCCTCGAGGGGCAGGCGGCAGACGAGCTGGTCGCCGTCGTCCGACGTCGGCACGGACGAGCAGAAGAGGGGCCCGTCGACCTGGCTCAGGATGTGGGCGCAGACCGGGTCGTCGGGGATGCGCACGCCCACCGTGTCGCGCTTCCAGCGCCGCGCGCCGCCCTTGTAGATCATGCGCGGCAGCGCCTCGGACGCGGGGAGGATCATCGTGTAGGGCCCCGGGAGCGCCGCCTTGAGCAGCTTGAACGTGCGCTTCGACGTGTAGCGCGTGTACTCGTCGATGGTGCCCAGGTCCGCGCAGAGCAGCGACAGCGGCTTCTTCCGGTTCTCGTCGCCCTTGAGTGCCAGGAGCCGCTGCACGGCCGCCTTGCTGTCGACGCGCGCGACGAAGCTGTAGGACGTGTCCGTCGGGATGACGCCGACGCCGCCCCGGTTGAGCGTGCCGATGATGTCGTCGTCCAAGCGCCAGGCGTCGCTCCCGTCGGCCAGCACGTCCAGGTAGTCCATCTCCTGCTTCGGACCGCGGTACTTCGCGACGGTGACGCCCGGCGCGCGCCGCGGGCGGCGCGTCGCCGGCGGCGCGTAGGCATGCGCCGCGTTGACGAGCAGCGCCGCGAGGACCGAGGCGCGCCGCAACCCTGTTGCGCGGCCACGAACGCCCATTGCCCCGGCGCCAAGTACGTTTAGTTGAGGTCAACGAATCGTCAACGAGGACTTCAACGTACCTACGCCTGCTGGCGGACCTATATCTAGACTTAATAGAGTTCCCCTTGACTCGAGGCGCGAAATAACATTACCCGCTCAGGTACTTGGGCCGCCGCGCCGCGTCCTCGAGGGCCTGGTTGAAGGTCGGCGTGTTCGCCGCGGACGCGTTCGCCGCGACGCGGCCGAGCGCGGCGCCCCGGAGCTGCGCGGCGAAGACGGCGCCCGCGGCCGCGACGGCCGCCGCGAGCGCGAAGTACTCCACGCGGAGGTCGTAGCGCGCCTCCCAGCCGCGCGCCGCCGCCGCCTTTTGCAGCGACAAAAAGAGCGGCACGGCGCAGGCCGACGCGAGGTTGCCCGCGGTCTGCATGAGCGCGACGATCGTGTTCTCGTCGCCGTCCGGGTGCGTCGTCTCGACGGCGAGCTCCGCCGCGAGCGGCTGCACGGGCCCGACGAGGAACCCGAGGAGGAGCAGGGCGCCGTCCAGCGACGCGCGCGTCGTCTCGTCGCGCGCGACCATGAGCAGCGCCGCCACGGTGCCCGCGAGCGCCGCGGCCGTCGCGGCCTTGTAGCGCTTCGACGCGTCGACGTAGGACCCGAAGCCCACGGACCCGGCCAAGATGCAGACCTGGAAGCCGGCGCCGAGGCCCGCGACGCGCCGCCGCTGCACGGCGCCGCGCTGCGCGACGGGCTCGTAGCGGCTCTCGCCCTCGTAGACGAGGTGCGGCAGGAACGTGGACACGAGGTTCGACGTCACGATCGACGCGACGAACGCGACGACGCAGCCCCGGAAGCCGCCGACCGCGGCGAGCTCCCGCAGCGACGTCCACAGATCGACGGTCAGGTCGAGGGCGCCCTTGCCGACCTGGCGGCCCTGGACCATCCAGCGCGCGAGGCGCCGCCGCGGCGTTTGGCGGCGCGCGTGGGAGAGCACCGTCGTCGGCGACGGCGACGCGTTCGTCCGCCGCAGGCCCTCGAAGTCGCGGCGCCGCTCCTTCTTGCTCCGCTCGCGCTGCTTCGCGAGCAGCGCCGCCGCGGACGGCGCGCGCGACGGCAGCGACGCGAAGTGGACGGAGCAGCCGAACGCCAAAAGCGTCGCGAGCGCGGCCAAGCACCGGTTGTACATCGCCAAATCGCCGTCGGACCGCACGAGGCCCGCGCCCACGGCGTAGGCCAGCGCGATGCCGAGCTGGTTGCTGTTGAGCGCCACGGTCGCCGCCAGCGTCGTCTCGCCGTCGCCGAACCAGTTCGCGGCGAGGAGCGACGG